TTTAAATATAATAATAAATATATATTATATTATAATTATATATATTATATTATAATATAATATAATATAGTTGTAATTTTTAACTATCAACAAGTAATTCAACTTCATAATTTATTAAACATTAATATACTAATTTTAGAGCCAATACATATATTTATAGTTTATTAAATACTCAATTATTTTTTATAACATCTATTTTTTCTTTCAACACAACTAAAAATAATTTTTTTAAAATCTACAACAATTCCTTATGCTTAGAAGATGGACAACCCCAAATTGATGGACTTATCATTGTCGTCGTCGCGAAGCAGCTCGTCAAACCCGCCGTCGAGCGTTGTCGAGCCTACTCCAATGCCACAAAAACCTAGATCCGTCTAGCCCACCCTATTTGCGAGCTGCTACGAGCCCCATCGTTCCTATCCACCACCACAACTCTCCTCTGTGAGCCTGCCTTAGCCGTCGCCCGTCCTTCGTCGCAAGCCCATCACCCAGTTCCGAGCCCCCTCCTCACCGTCACTGAACCTGCCTTTGTTGAGCCTCCTTTGGTTTCTCCCTTCCTCCGCCTTTGAATCTCGATACATTATACAAGTTTGGGGAAAATTGGGCTTTCGAAGGATTTTTTATTTTTTAGAAAGGATTTTTTTTTGTTTCTAAGACCAATTATATAAGAATATCAATTTAAAGAAAAGCATTTTCACTGTTTAGAAATTAAAAAAAAAAGTAATAATGATTTAAGATTAAAATAATCAATATTTTCCCAATTTAATTAACTTTAAATATTTTTAAAAACCTACCACATCATAAATTCTGTTAATGTTATACTAAAGTTGATGGAGGGGTGATTTGATATATTTTCTATAAATTAAGAGGTGTTTTAAACTGTTTTACAAAATCAAAGGCAATTTATAAGAATAATTCTTTAAAAAATATATTTCACACTACTCAAATATAGCTAGTAAGGAGCTAACCATTTAATTTTCTCTATTATGATATTCTCTGAGACAATAACAAATACAAGGGTTACCTTCAAAAAAATAAATAAATGCAAGGATTTTCTTTTAAATTCAATGAAGTTATTTATATTTTACATTAAATATATGATTTATGTTTAACTAAAATAGACAGTGATTGGAGTAACTCCCTCAAAAATTACTAACTAAATAACTTTTTAACTATTTTAGCTCAAATTTAAGAAGTCCCTTGGGTTAGCTCAAATTTATGGAGTTCCTTGGGGATGCTCACGGTGTTCAGTCTATATTTTCATCCCTTTTCGATTTGCACAGAACATCAAATGTAACCCCAGAGTAATTTACTTCTGTGGCAAGACAACAGACCCACAAGACAATGAATTGAACCAACTCATCGCCAAAAAAATAAAAAATAAAAAATAAAAATCGTAAAAACCTCCGGACAACACTGCCAATTCCACAACCACAATACTCCAATAAAAGAGCACCATGGAGAACAAGGGAATGCCATTAGCTGTTTCAGTCCATGTATATAAATAAAGGACAACTAGATGCCAAACTCACGTGTCTGAATAAAATGGTAATCTTGACGAATACATTTTAAAAGCACACATATCAAGATTTTTACCATTTATTCTTAGTTCATAACCTTTTTAATCAAACAATTACAACAATAAAAATGTATTTATCAAGAGTAAAAAGAAAAAGTCTAAAACTCATGCACTCTTTAGAGTAAATTCTGTAATTTTCTCAAATAATAAAAGATTGCACTAGCTAACCCGCCAAGATAGAGATCATCAGCTGACATGCTTAAAGGAAACAGCAACCAAACAATTTAAGCAATATGAAAAATGAGAACAAACGACAGCAATAAGAAAAAAAAGAAAAGTGGCTCGTTTAACCGCCAAAACGGGCCAACAATCCAGTAATTACTCCCTCGAAATCAAAAGATTGAAAATATGATCAGCTTTCCTTCCCCGCAGGTGTAGATGTTGTTAAAAAAAAAGTTAAAAGGCTCAGAAATGACTATTATACATTGTTGCCAATAATTTCTACGATTTGATAGATGACTAGTTTAGATGATAGTAAACCCCACCCAACTATATACAAATGCTGAACCCAATTATATAACAAATAACTTCATGTCAGTTGCTTGGCCAAATTTTGTCCTAATTTGAAAATATGGCTAAAGTTCAAATTAGGACAAGCGCCCATCCTATCTCTAGAAGACTTCACATCATTCCTACATCACGAATATATTCTACACCCAAACTACATAAGATGGCACTAGTTAAAGAAGGCTGACATCATTTCTACACAACAGATCTTATACATTTCACACCGGTATATATACAATGGCACAAGACCAAGAAGACTAAAACATCATTTCTACAGATTGTATACACTTTACACCAGTATTGTTCAGAATAATATCCATTTTGTTGGCTTAATCGACGCCACAAACTGACACAACTATCACGCCTATACCTATAGATTCTGGGAACAAACTGCTAATTTCAACCACTTTTAAAGGCATGCATATCAACCTGACAAATACCGGCATGGTACAATATTTAATGTAATTAGTAATTGAACAAACATATTGCAACAAAACTAACACGAAATTGTCAGGTATAAAATCGAGGTAGAGCATAGTCACTCTTCCTCCACCTCTTCCCTCATCAAGATAAAAATGCCATAGAACAAAAACCTTTTACTGACTTATGCAATTGAGGAGCAAGGATAAGAAAAATCATCCACCGTATTGATCTAAGAAAGCATGTAATGAATTTCGATGTGGGATAGAGCTTCGACAACAGATGAAACTTCTAAAGAAACTCAAACATTACAAACAAATTGTAAACCCACTTAGAATATTAGAAACTACATTAATTAAGGCATATGCATGCTAGGTTCAAGATTCCAAATAACAAAATAAAAGCTTTAACACAAAGAAACATATGCATAATTCCAGACAAACAACATGAGGGGGAAAAAAAAGACAAACATTAGGGCTTTCATTCATTTCACCATTCGAATCACAGCCCAAAATTTTTCAAAAAGTGTTCTCTCTTATAAAAATTCAAATTCAACTTTATCTGCTAAAACGTTTTCTCTAACATAACTTTACCTCTCAACTCATGTTCTCAACTCAAACAAGCGAAATGAACAGAGCCTAGGATTTTCAAAATGGATATTCAGTACCAGACAAGTTGCAACATATGCAAACAGTTATATGTATTACTATACAATACAGAAAATTGAGGAAACAATAAACAACACGACTCTTGAAATATAGACTTAAAAGGCAATATTCGCTATCCATTTGATATGATTAAAAGGGCTTTAATGAGATGATTAAAACGAAATGATGCAAAGAAAAGACAAGACAAGGCATGAAATAGATAGTGCTGCAATCTGAATCAATAGCGGCTTCATAATATGGCGCCAAAATTTGCAATCAGAATCAGTAAAACGTAATCAAAGTAAATGCCAAAATGAGCTGGAAGGGGAAAAGAAAAACAAGGAACACATAAACAAACAATGGAATGCAGATAACGGCATCCTAAATGCTGAAGCACAAAAATTCCACATCCGCATTCGTTAAATTAATTGACAAAAATATCTCCCAAATTTATCTAATTACCTTCAAAATAGTGATTGTAATCATCTTACGAAAGCGAGTTCTGAGTTTTCCAAATCATCTAAAAAGCGCATAAATTAAACAAAACCCGAAGTATCTAAACCCAAAAGAAAGGAAATGAAGTAAAAAAAAAAAAAAAAAAGGAAAAAACAAATAAGGTTTTTTCTCTCACGGAAGCGGGGGCAATCGGCTGACCAGCTCAATCCTGCGGAATTTCGACATCTCCGTCCGTCACTTCCTGCTGTAAGTCCTTGGGATCCTTGCCGTCGACCGTACACCCGACGGAGACGCAAGTGCCGAGGATCTCCTTCACGGTCCCGGAGAGGTCCTTCGCCATCGATCTGGGCCGCATGATCTTGGCTATCTCGATCACATCGTCGAGAGAGATGTTGCCATTATGTTTAATGTTCTTTGTCTTCTTCCTGTCGCGCTCCGGCTCCTTGAGGGACTTGATGACAAGAGCGGCGGCGGAGGGGACAACGGAGACCTTGGCCTGGCGGTTCTGAACGGTGAGCTTGACGGTGACGCGGAGGCCCTTCCAGTCCTTGGCGGTCTCCTTGGCAATGTCTTCTCCGATCTTCTTTGGGGAGAGACCGAGAGGACCGATCTTCGGAGCGAGCGAACTCGCCGCGCCGACCTCGCCGCCGGTGACTCGGACGTAGACGTCCACAACCTGAGTGGGATCGAACTTCGGCGGCATCTTCGACTGCTACTGAGGGACTAAGAAGAGAAGGCGCTAGGGTTTCCGAAGAGGTTGCTCTGAGGGAAAATTGTAAATTTATGGTAGGGTTTTGCAGGGCTGCCAATTATGAAATGACTTATTTGACCCCGCCGTACGCATAGGGTTTTGCGTTCGAATTCCGTGTCTTTTGTGGAATTGGAAGTGGGTATATTTGTCTTATGACTTGAACGACTAAAATGTGCTGATTGGTTTGGGACTAACGTATAAGTTTAGGGGTTTTGGGCTGCTGTTTTGGGACAAATGCGTCTTTTGACGTGTAATGAGCAACCCACTTTTTGGTTGTTGGATGTAAGCCCATAAAGAAATTTTGTGGGTCATTATATTTGGGCCTCAGCACTAACCCAAAATGCTGTATAATGTCCAGTCTTTTATTTTCATTTTATATAAATTTCACTCTTACATGCATAAAATATAGTGTAATTTTTACTTTTGTTTATATGTAGTAACCATTACACGTCAAAACATATGTTAAGGTGAGAGTTAATTTCAATAGCAAAATGAAACAGGTGAAAAGTACACACATGTTATAGCATGTGTTATCCTGCAAATAAAAAACAAAAATTATTAGTTACTTAGATCAAACCTACAATCCAAGCCGTCTTCAAATGTCATCTCCTTTAACGTCTGTTATTAGTTTTTTTGGACAAATTACAATTATTCCTCCTAAACAATAAGCGTTTGAACAAAATTTTCCCTAAACTTTAAAAGTAATAAATTTTCCTTCTGAATAATTTGCCATTAGCATGAGTCCCCTTTTTCCACCCCCTCGATTAAATTTTGAACGTTAAGTGTCACGTGGATGGCATGTGACTCTCATTTTAAGGGTAAAAAAGTAATTTAATGTGTTGAGTTAGAAATAGGGCTAAATCCATTCGAATTTTCTGACATAGTTTTCGGTTTTTGAGCCACATATCGGACAAATTGAGTTAGGATTTTTGTTACCTACTTACTTTTGAGTGTTTTGACACCAACGACATGAGAAATGGTGGTCAAAATCGACGGAACCAAACTCCTCCACGGTGAGCGGTTGCGGCGACTTCAAATTCTTGCAAATCGGTGAGGATGGCGGTGGCTACTAGTCAGGATTGACTCATATATGGATTATGAGTGAAATGATGGGGCAGTGCACTTCACCACCGCTGAGAATGCGGTTTTTTGAGAGGAGGTGTGGTGGCCGTGGAGGGCAGTTATGGTGAAGCATTTTCGGCGGGAATCAATAACAAACTTCGGGTGGGTCTTGTTCCTCTCATCACTCTGAGTTCATAGAGACTGGAATCACTTCGATCGGAGGTCGGATAGAAAAGTTATGGCCACTGAAAGTTTTGAGTTTTTCATAACTTTGTCCGGAAGTGTGACTTCATCCGGCGGAGTTGGCAGCCGCATGACACTAATCCAAACTCGGCTCGATGAGAGCTTTCCGATGAGCCAAGAGGTGTCAAAAATGGACCCCAGAATACTTGCCGGAGCTTGGTAGTCGTGCACGGGAAAAGGAGTGGAAAGAGATTGGGGGTTTGGATGTTCTGATTGGGTGAGATTGATCAATCTATATGGGCAACATCGTCATTTTAGAAGAGAATAAAAATTAAATACCTTAACAACTTTCACGTGGCACTTAACGTTTAAAATTTAACCGATGGGGCAAGCAAGGGGGACACACGTTAACGATGAATTGTTCAGGAGAAAAATTTATTATTTTTAAAGTTTAGGGAGCATTTTGTTCAGACGCTTATAGTTCAAGAGGAATAAATGTAATTTGTCCTAGTGTTTTTTTTTTTTTTTTAAATCAAGAATTGCATTAGTGCCTATTTTCCGAGCATCGTAATAATAAATGGATGTAATTATGATAGATAAAACAATGTGTTTTATGCTGTACAACATAAACTATAGGTAACTACAATTAACTTCACCATTTTCCCTCTCTCTCTCATGTCTCTCTTGCTCTCTACAATGATCTAGTTCTGCTAGACAATTAGAATAGTCTATTACTCATTTGCTTGTAAGTCTATATAAACCTTCTTTTCTGTTGTATTTTCATTAAGCAACCCTAGCATTTTTGCTCTTCCCGATTTGATTCTTAGAATTCATATTGACGACGTTTACTTTTTTTTAATAACATTAATAAAACAAAAATATCTTTTGTAAATAGCATTGATTCATTTATTGTTTTATTTTGTCATTGTCATGTTAGTAATAACCCTAACAATTACAAAATACACTAACTTGCTTGTAGTTATTATAATTACTAAAAGAATATGAGGTAACAATGATACAAAATAAAATAATCAAAACCAACACTATCTTTAAAATACTTTTATTTATCATTGTTCGCTCAAATAATGATCTAGTTGTGATTTAAATTTATTTTAACATTTTTTTTCCAGGTCTCTAGCTTTTAAAAGTTGGATCTTTAAGGAGATGTTTGGTTCATGGATTAGAATCATGTGATTAGAACCATTTTTGATTTACGTGTATTTTTTGTGAGAGAAAATATTGTAGCGAACCATAAACCATAATTCAAATCATAGTTTGAATTCTCTAACCAAACATCCCTTAAATTTCCAGGCGAAGGGGACAGACAGCGACAATAGAATATTATTGCATTAGGCAAAAGAACTCACTGTAGGATGAAAGTCATTTTGAAAAAGAAAGATTTATTTCTCATGGAGTTCGATTTATCTGGAGTTATCTATACATAAATAAACATACAAGACAATTTCATCCATATAATAGCTTGATCATTATTTTTATATAATGAATAGTTTGTTATATCGATCTCGATATTTTGACTTGAACCATATTTTGAATATTATCTATTAAATAAAATTAACCTATTTGATTTTTTTTTAAAATAAAACAAAAAATATCCGATACCACACTAGTCGCAAAGCTGAAATGGCAATTAATCAAAGTAATTATTGACCTTTCTACTGAAAATATATATATATATTGTAATTATTTATCGATATTGGTAGTTGGAATTTGGATTTGAACCATTACTCTAACATTATCTATTTTAAATAAAATTACCCAATTTGTTTTAAAATAAATAAATAAATAAACAATAACCTATTCCGATACTACACTAGTCACGAAACTGAAATGGCAATTAATCAAGGTAATTTTTCTACTGAAAAAAGAATTGTAATTATTGACTTTTATTATGCATATGTATCTTATAATAATCGTACCGTTTAGTTCATAGTTTTAGAATTATTTTTGATTTATGTGTATTTTTTATGAGAAAAAAATATTATAACAAATCACAAATTATGATTTAAATCATAACACGAATCTATCAACTAAACGCACACTTAATTATTGATTTGTTGCAATATTGGTATATTGATTTGTTGCAATACTGGTATACTTTTGTAGCAAATATGTGTTATAGGGATAATGTTGGCTAACATTAGTTAACGGTAGTACCAAAAACAGCGTTTGGTGAGCAATAGAAGTGCAGTACATGTACTATATTCCTTGCGCACATCCTGCAATGCTTATAGGGATAATGTTGGCTCCCTTTTTCCTACTTCTCAAAACAATGAATAATCATACTTTTAACACCACTCAGCGACACAGGACCACGTAAAAGATTTTTGTTTTTTTTAGGAAAAAAGTGGTGTCAACAAAAATGCCAAAGATTTTGAATTTACACGAGCACTAATATCCACATATATCCATAAAAATATTCCAAAGAATAAAAATCTTACGTTCTGAAATATTAAAAGGCGAGATTTAACATTGTTATTGGCATAAATGATGTATAGATTGAATTTTTATGTGCCAGTTTTTTAATACTACCTTTGTTAGAGAAGTGAGATATTTTTTATTTTTTTTGAGGAAATAATGAGCGCGTTTAGAATCATTTTAAAATGATTTTATTTTTTATATAAAAATGAAAATGAAAACGTTTTCAATCTCAGACATAAATTATTTTTAAAAACGTGTTTGGTAATTTTATCAAAAGATTATTTTTAACATAAAAAAAACCCATTAATGTCTCTCTCTTTCTCCCTGCTCGAGAGAGATGAGAAAACGAAAATAAAAAATGAAAAACGACTAAAAGTCGTTTTTCATTTCTCTCTCATTTTACACTAAATTAAAAATTCATTTTCATTTCTATTTTTTGTCTTTATTGGGTCAAATATCGTTTTGAAAATGTTTTCATTTTTTCTTTCTAAAAAAACTTAAAAAATAAAAATGAGATCAATTCTAAATACGGTCATTATTTCGAATACACATCATTTGATAATTAATTGGCATTTAAAATTTTAGTACAAAAGTTGGTGCATCTCCTAGATGACAATGCATCTACACTAGCACCGATTTGGTGCGGGCAGGTCATTAAAAATCACAGCTGGGACTAAAATGAGAGCAACGGCAAACACAGCGAGGCACAGTAAAACAATAACGCACTTGCTTACAAATCTTACATACATACATACATACATACATACATATCTATATGTATATATACGTGTGTGTATATTATATCTCACTTTTGTTCTGCCACAAACGACAGGCGCACAGATTAATGGATAGGGAAGGAGATAAGCATCCCGCTTCAGTCATTTCAAGTTCCGAAACGTTACTCTCATTAAAGGCAACAACAAACAACATTGTGATGATCATGATCATTGTAGAGACTTTTGAGGAGCTTCAAAGTTGCAAGTTACAACTGGACTTCCAACCTTCTTTCAAAGAAAGCTACAATTTACAATTTGGGCACGTTTAGTTTGTTGATTCGAGTTGAGATGTGACTTTACGTGAGAATTTTTTACTGTAGTAAAAAAGTTAGATGTGACTGTTTTTTAAAATTTTTTATTGTGACAAAACTCAAATTCTAAACTCAAATCGGTGAAATGAACGGGACTTTAGATTATTTAACTCGATAAGATTTTAAGGTCCCGTTCATTTTACCGATTCGAGTTTAGAATTTGAGTTTTGTTGCAGTAAAAAGCTCTTAGAAACAGTCACATCTAACTTTTTTACTCAAATAAAGTCACATCTCAACTCGAATCAGCGAACCAAACTTTTTCGATGTTAATCCCATTGTTATGGGTAAAAAATGATACACGAAACACGTCTTATTTCTGTTCAAAATTCTATTGAAAGAAACTTTTTCGATGACGTTCTAATTTTTAAGAGAACAAGCGTGTAACGTTTTGACGGTCGATTTCCATGAAAATTTTGAAATCAAATCGAAAATATCACTTCTCCAACGAATGTCATTGTCTATTCGAGGCTATAAGGTAGAAAATGGGCAAGTAATGGTGCACATCAAAAGAGGCCCACAGCTCACACTGCTCATAAAACCGGCCTAGCTTTGTGGCGAGAAAAGGAAAGCTATAAAAGGGGGGGCCTATTCTACTATCTTCATTCTCTTTTTAGACATTGACATCTTTTGTTTTGGTTGAATCGTTTCCGTTTAGTCATTTTCGGCAATGTTATTAGCTTGCAAGAAACGTAGTTGGGCAATTGTGGGATGAGAGCGACTAGGGGAGTAGCGGAAACTTGAGTCACAAAAGTTGAGCGAAAACTCCTCAATTATTTGATAAGATTCTACCCCCAAATGAAGTTTAAATCGTTTGTGTTGGAATTTTTATTTTCCAAGATCCAATTTTGATGCCATTTTCAGTCTTTGATAACGTTTAATGTCCAATACCCACTAGCCATAAATGCTGTATTATTATTGGTCTCGAGGATTTGTATATTCGGTTGTGGCATTCAATTCCTTGCAAAGCCAAATGTAATGTCACTAAAAATATTAGAAAGGGCAAATTCCATTAATGATATGCTTGATTATTAAAATTCTTTTTTATCAAATTTTCAGTGAACTTGACATTGGCAATGCTCTAGTAGTACAACTTTGAGAGGAGGAAAAGTGGAAATCTATTAAGTAATAAAAGAAAATGTTCCAGAAACTAATATTGGTAATATATATATATATAATTCATAAATTATAGACCCCTAAATTGAGAGCTCGTAATAAATCATAATTCAAAAAAAAATATTTGTTACCAGAATCATAATTCATTTATCACTTATCACTGCCTTGCCAGAATAAGAAATAAAAATACAAAACTTGCCAAACGCACTAAGGGATGGGAGAATAAATCGTCACTTCAGTAGTTTACTACCAATTACAATTAACAATTATTTTAATTAGCACCACAAAGGAAAAGTGACTTTCATATCAAGTGGAGTTACAAAATTAGTTTCTCAAAAAGAAGGAATTTAAAAAAAAAAAAAACATCTAATTAAACAAGTGAACAATATATTTATATATATTCAAATAGACAGAATGAACAGTATTATTACTTGTGGGCCTTTTGTTTATTAATTCTTTTTCGTCTCTCTTTTTGATATGTTGTTTTTTTCTTCTTTTGCTATGATGTACTTGATTGTTAGTTTCTGATTTTTTTTTTTTGTTTGTTTATTTTTCATTTTTCTTGAAGATTGTTCTTTCTGCTTGGTAATTTAAGAAGCATTATCCACCGACTAAAAAGTAATAGGGGACTTCAATAAAAAAAAAACGTTGGTTTGCCAAAAGAAATTGCATTGGTTAATTATTTTATTTGGTTATTTAGTACAAGTTCCCTCTAGTGGCAGGAGATGCCTTATTTGTTAATATTTCTAGTTAAAGAGCCAGTTGGAGTAGAGATATCTGGTTCTGGGTTTGGCAAACACTCTCCATAGTCGTAGCCAATTAAGAAAACCGCACAAGATCACCATTATTGAAGTTTAATGTTTCTTTAATTACTAGTTAATAAAAAATATTGGGAAAGCTTTAAAGCAAAATGTCATCATTGAGATTGAATATAAAAAATACATATAGTATATATATATATATTTTTTGCTAATCATATAATATATAATATATTTTTTTTATAGTAAATACTTATATATATAATCACAGAAGATCACATTCTCCAAAGACAATTACTGTAACATCCAGTGCTTATTGTTCTTGAAGCAAGTAAAATACAATATTTTCTCCCATTAACTATAAAGTTCGGCAGTAATTGGATGAAAATTATTCTGTAAATACTATAATTTTGTTTCTCTTCTAATAAAAAAAGTTAGACTTTGATCAGTAATTAACAACGCAAAGCTGAATTATTTCGTTACCTGTTAATAAATCTAAGGAATATCTGACCAGGATTGTCCAACTCAATAATATACATACATATATATATCGTAAAAGCGTCAGTTTTATGCTCCATATTATAAAGCATTTCATTTTATATATACACACACCCCGTGGATTTACTATAACTCTTATACTTAATTGCTTTTTTGAAGTTGTAGTGTTTTATATTACATGATATGATATCTATTATTATGCATTTACTATATTATTGAAAAAAAAGGGCTTTTTATTTATCAAAAGGAAGTACTTGATTTTTGTTATCATCTTTTGTTTATATATATCTCATATTGTGGTGATCCTAGATATATAACGGAGAATATTATGGCATATAAAACCAAGAATAGTCTGGAACACATTATCGATTGGGAAAAAAAAAATCCGAGAATTGTCGTTGTAAACCATACACAATTACCACAAAAAATATTATTCTCATGGAACAAGAAAAAAGAACCATAAATAACAAAATATGTTCTGACAAATATCAAAATCAGCAGCAAACTTTCCAAAAACTAATGCTCACGAATCAAAAATCTTCACCCATCACTATCTTCTTCTTGAATATGTGACCATCTAGATTAACCACGTTTTATCACAAGGAATAATCAGATTGCCAATATTTTGCGAAAATTACATAACAAAGAAAAAATTTCCCATATATAGAAATTATAAAAAAAAAAAAAAAAAGAAGGAATTGGACCGACTGAAAGGAATAATATATATTTTGCTTTCATGTATTAGAGTGAAGCACGAGTGAAATGAATTTACCGCGATATGATTCTTTGGCACGCGAGAAATTGGAGGGAAGAGAGAGAGAAATAGGGGATTGTCGCGGTTGAGAGGACAAGAGGAGGCCAGAACCAGCTGGCAAGAGGGCGCGCTAGATCCGAGTGCGGGGCCTACTTCACGTGCCAGCATGCCCCTCTCCCTAACGAGACGCCACGTGTTCAAGACAAATGGAGATTTACACGTGTCGCAAATCCTCGATCGTCTAAACAGGACCACTTTTGTCCTCTTTTCTAGAACCGGGTCAGGTGAAACCCCTCTCTCTCTCTCCCTCCCTCCCTTACTCCGCGTCGCGACAAAGTTTTTGTGACTACCACTCGTACAATACAAAATCTTTCTCGTCTCAGACAAATTCGTATTCCCCAAATTGCCCTGCCCTTTCTTTTTCCTTTTTTTTTTTGTCATGTAGCTGAAAGTTTGAGCTGCGTTTGAAAGACGCCACGTGGCTTTCATCCATGGCTTGTAGAAATTGGGATTGTGGCCGATGTAAGGGAGTTTGATGAAACCATCGGCGCTGAAAATGCTTTCTTTATTTATTTATTTTCATGATGATTTTGCTTTCTTAGAATTAGAATTGATTATTCTATAAATATCTTAAAATTTTACGTGATTTAGATAAGAACATTGCAATTGAGTTTTTGGCATAAACTAAGTAAGGAATAAAAGTTTAAGAGCTCGTTTAATTCACTGATTCGAGTTAAAATGTAATTTTATATGAGAATTTTTTATTGTAATAAAAAAATTAAATATAATTATTTTTTAAAATTTTTTATTATAATAAAATTTAAAATTTAAACTTAAATTAATAAAATTAACGGAACTTAAAATTACTCAAAGCATCTTGTTGGTTATTTGAGTGGAAGATACAAATATTAGTAGTATTTCAGTCTAGTTAGTCAGTAGTCAAACAAAGTCGAAGTAATCTTTTCTTTTTTATCTCAAAAGAAAAGAAAAGGTCGTAACTCGTTCTCTCTGGTCTTTGGTTTTTATTCTTTTGTTTTTCAGTTAAAAGGAGAAAAAAAAAAAAAGGTTAAAGGAGTTAGTTTGTCAATTTCAAACTTAAAAAGAAGATTTTATGGTTAATACCAGTTACTTTTACAAGACAAGGTGTTGGTCAGTTACCTTCACGGCTTCACATACTCCGCCACGTGTAGGAGATGAATCATTTTTGCGGATCATAAGACTCCGTCCATATCTATTACGATTATTTACGCGACGCATAAAATCCGGCTCCCGAGATATTGAATCTCGTAAAGTTCGATAAATAAAAATCTTACGTGTCATTTAGTGAAAAATTCTGTGAGGTGTTTTTCTGTAATTTCGCGGTAATTAACTCAAAATAAGAAAGAGAAAGAGAAAGAGAGAGAGAGAGAGGGAGTAAAGCCTTATCCATTTGGCACACCGGTTCTTTATAAAAGCGGATCAAAATACTAATTTTAGAGAACCAAACCAAACCCAACCCAGTAGAAGAAAACCGATAGGCTTAAAAGAAAGAAGAAACCGAAACACAGGCGATTTCTGGGATTTTTCATTTCAAATTCTCCCATCGAAAAACCTCGACCTCTTTCTCTCTCAACAATGGCGACGAGTAAGAGCTACTTCGCTCGGCCGAACTACCGGTTTCTCCCCGGCGACCGCGACTACCACCACCACCACCACACGGCGGTGGCGGCCGACTCCGCGGCATTCGAACTCGACGAGTCGGACATCTACAACTCGGCGCGCTCCAACTCGCCCGAGTTCCGCAAGCCGATCTCGTCGTCGCGGCTGATCTCGAAGAAGGCCTCGTCGAAGCGATCGTCGGGCGATCCGGCCGTTGACCTGACCGGCGCGACGGCGGCGTCGCTTCCGGTGAACATTCCGGACTGGTCGAAGATTCTGAGGGACGAGTACAGGGACAACCGGACGAGAGACAGCATCGACGACGACGACGATGACTTTAACGGCGGCGGCGACTGCGACGAGGGCGTTAGGGTTCCGCCTCATGAGTTCCTGGCGAGGCAGATGGCGCGGACAAGGATCGCCTCCTTCTCGGTGCACGAAGGGATTGGGAGGACTCTCAAAGGGAGGGATCTGAGCAGGGTTCGAAACGCAATTTGGGAGAAAACCGGCTTCGAAGATTAGAAACAAAAATCAATTGAGGAAATGAAAAAGAAAATATAACACCGGGAATTTACGGAATATATTTGTTAGGAAATTTTAATCCTCCATAGCGGTAGGTCTTTCTCTCCTCTCTTTCTTTTTTGTTTTCTTTTTTTTTTTTAATTTTTTAAGAGTTTTGTGTTTTTTTTTTTTTTTTTTTTAATGTTCTTTTGAGATTTAGTTTACACTACGTATCTTGGAGACAACTGTTGTCCATTAGAGGAAGCATTTTACGACTGTAGTTTTCTTTCTTTCTTTTTTTTTTTTAGTAATTTGCGATTGTAATTCTAACTTGGAGGATTCAGGATTGTATTTGTATTTTTGTATTTGCCTATAAATTTTCCACTGCTAACTACACCTTATAATTGTTTCCTGTCTTTATTTTTTTCATTGAACTGAATATTATTTTTTGTTTATGTCCTTGTGAGGTTTGTCGTCAATTTTGATGCTCAATGCTATACGTTTGATTTTGATTTTGTTTTTTTTATTTTTAATTTAAGAAAGATTTATTGGTTGATATATGATATATAAGGCTACAGAGGGAAGAGGGTAGATGGGCATTTTGGTAGTATAAAAATGGAATGGGGAGTCATTGGTAAATGATTGGTGGGGTTTGGATTTTTTTATCTTTTTTTCCCCTCTTTTAATGATGTGGGTGGGGTTGGTGCGGAAAGAAAAGCATAGGTTACAAATCAACGACAATGACCCCCTGTTGAAAAAATAATACAGATGATACAATCCGTCACATCTACTCTTTTCCATTTTGGAACTACTTTTTTCACTCCATTTTCCGCAAATTATCAGCCAGTTTTTAACTTTTACCTTAGTTTCCGCTCATCATCTGTCAGTTTTACCTTAAAAACTTAGGTTGAATTTGAAATGTATGTGCCGTTTTAAAACTTAAGCCATTAGATCAAGATTAAAAATGATTTTATTCTCAAGAAATTATTTTAGTTTTATTAAATTATAGTTAACAATTTTTTTAACGGTTTAAATAAATTGTTCGTGGTCTAAACATTGAAAAAAAGATGTATGTATGCCCTTTTTTTTTCCATGTAAATTTGATATTTTGGTACGTGTAGTGAAGTATTTCTTTGTATTTTCCACACATTTTTGTTTTTTTTTTTTTTCCCTAATACATGTATTTTGATTTTTGAGTTTCTTTCTTTATTGACGGTGGGCTTGGTTAGCTTGGCAGGAAGATGTTGGAGTACAACTCTTGCTTATCAGACGAGACCCACGAGGCGATAATAGATGGTTCCAATGGGGTTGCTTTCTTCAAAATTTTTTAAATTTATATCTCAATTATACGTAATTTAATAAAGTTTTGTTTACTTATTCAGACAATGACGAAATCCTATACGAGCATCGGATCTTGTAAAAAATTAATTGTCTATATATTAGTAGTTGGGAGTGTGGCTAAGCGAGAAGATTGGATAATTGGATTTCTTGTTAAATAATTGGAAATTATCCAATTGACTGATATGAAAAATTGATTAGCAGACAAAATACAACTAATTGTATTCCATCATTTCGCTATCAAATATCACGTCAGCTTTTAATCATATCGAATTGTTAATCAACTCAATTATTTCCTTTTATATTAAATTATATTAGACCAAGTGGCCAAATTCATTATAATTTGTCAATGACTAAAACAGCTAGTTTTTTGTACTCGTTAATCTAATCTATGCATTAAGGCGGTACTTAAATGAAGTAATTGAAACAGAAAGCCATACAAAATAAATTTTGTAGGCAAACGTTACCTGTAAAGTTTCACTAACTGGGGGGTTTTTTTTTTTGTATTTTAATTTAAATTATTAGAAAGGAAATTTGGATCTACATCTTCATCAGTCTCAAATATTATTTCAACATAAGCGTTATAACTTATTTGTTAATAGTTTAATGTGGTATTTATCGTTAAGTGTAACCTAATATTCCTCTGCCGCAAGATGTTAACCTACCATTCCTCTTATCACTCTAATACCCTTCCTCTTGAAAACTTTCTTCTCTCGCTGATAATTCATATAAATTATTGTTCAATGTGCACATCAACTTAAAATTATTAAATAAAAAGAAAAAGCTTATAATGGATCATACATTATGAGTCGTTTGGCACTCTTATCATGAACCCCTCTTTTTTTTTTTATTAAATTATTTATGCTTGAAGTTATTTTTTATAAGATTATTTATGTTTGAAGTTATACAATGTTACTATACAACTCTAGTGGTATGGATTCAGCCTTTGTGTTCACTTATTCATATTTAATTTTATGTTCTTCCAACAATATCATGACACGTCATTAAAAGATTATGTCAACTAATATTTCATATCACGTCATTTAATGAGATGCCATGATATTATTAGGGGTACACAAAATGAGATAAAGAAAAATGGGACATATGAGCCCAATTCTTAGTGGCATAACGGTGAAAGATAATCTATTAAGATTCTCTCTGTGATTAATCTCATTGTATGCAACAAGACTTAACTTATATCTCTCATTAGTCGGGCGAATTATATGACTTGAGTTAAAGTGACATTTATACTTCATAAATATTATTTGACCAAAACATGAAATTGTTTCACATGTGCTCCCAATAGATTTTCAAATAACCTTTAGGATCGAAACATAAAAACCTGATCTCTTTTCTTTTACTAGAAAAAAATACACTTACTTTACAAGCTAATGTGATAATTCAGCTACCATAATGTCGCATCACATGAATTAAAACTTTGGACATCACTCCAAACAATATTGAACTTTGATTTATTCATATTTGGATTGTACTTTTTATCCTAAACTATTGAATTGTTCTTGCCCAAGATTTTTATTTTTTATTTTTCTTTTCCTATGAATGACTTTGTGATCCATTAAAATTTGGAATAATATATGGTCTTTCTTTTCAGAATTTCAAATCCTAAATTTCTTTTGCTAATTGGAAAGGAAACTCATGGAATAATAGTTTCACACCAAATTGGTACATGACCCCATCATGTCAACATTTTGCACCATGGGGTAAATCTGTCATATCAAAATCAACTTTTATGTGAAAACGACTTACGGACAACGAGCACACAAACACCAAACATTTATTGCCTAAAAGTAACTAGTTTTGTCACTATGTGATATTAAGGAAACGACATTCCACTCCAACAATATCGAAATAAATTCAATTAATTTGTTTCTTCCCTTTTTCTTCTTCTTCTCGCTAACCAATAGGATTATTAGTATCAAATAATGCATGTAACGCGGCGAACGCCGGTCTTCACATAAAGAAAAAGAAAAAGACACTTAAAAAAAAAAGAAAAAAAAAAAAGAAGTAGAAGAGCAAGACCAAGAAACCGTTTCTTTATTAGAAGAATAATGACCGTCGGATTGGGCTTGTGTGGGGGCCACATATAAAGTCGATTAGTTGACCATAATTTTCACGAAATGTTATTGCAGACTGTAGCTGAGCTCTATGGTTTTCGTTGGTTGGTTGGCATTGGCGTTTTATTTAAGTTCGGAAGTCGTTTTCGTCTGTCTTGTCGTTTTCTAGCTTTTTTATGGCAGGACATGGACATGGGAATTCAGAATACGCAACTGTGCACATAGGAAGATAGTGTCACCGTCGGTCTCATAGAGTTTGTGTGAATGTAGGCTGTTTGTGGTCCACGTGTCTTTTGCAACTGTGGACCAATGTACGTACGTCCGATCTTCCATGGCTTCTCTGATAAGTTTTGTGTCCCAGTATGTCTTATTAAATAAAACGGTGAGTCAGAGAGTTCTCTCCTCAATAATGTTTATTATCTTCTGATAATGATATTTATTATTTATCCAGTGGGACAAATCCCCATAACTCGTGAAAATATGGCTATCATTACCTTGGATCTCATCTACTCATTTAACAAGATTCATTTTATACGAGTAATAGAGTTTTAACTTATAAAAATAAATAGAATTGCTCTTTTAAATTTATAGTATTAACATCAAATTTTACATAGTCATTCCAGTGTCATAGTGTAGCGGTAAAACAGGATCGCATGATCGCTTCATAGCTATTAGATATTTGAATTGATTTATCCGCATTTAGTCTTATAAAACTCATTAGAATAAATTTTACATTTCCCTCCAATTATAAGTCTTATTATAAAATATCCCTATACTTTATTTTTAGTTTTATTTTCTCATAAATTTCAATAACTCTTGTAAATTTTATGTTTCGTTAAATTTTTAGAAGAATATAACATGTGACTTGCAAAAATTAACCAAAAAAAAAAAAAAATCTTTATGTTAAGATTTTTAATAGAAAAGGCATGTATCACTCAAAATAATAAATGTCATTGAACAATGTAATAAATAATTACTTTATGAGCTCCTCATCGTGCAATCACACTAACTCTCTCCTTAATTTACTTGACCTAATAAATTTTGGAGTTTCATTAATGGCACCCAACAACAATAGTAGAAGAAAGAATTTAATGGAGCGGGAAATTTACAAGAGTAACTAAAGCAAGGAAGAAATAGGTAAAATTAAAGTTTAAGAAGCATTTTGTGACAAAGTCTATAAGTTACAGAAGAAAGTGAAATTTATCTCTTATGAAATGGTTGAACATCAAAGAATTACATTTAGCAAAAAAATAAAAAAAAAAAAATCAAACAATTATTTATTTTTCAAGAACGTGAACATTTAGTTGAGTTGATGTTGTAACAACATATATGTTTATTAACATTTTGCGTTCAGAATTATTATACGTACTTTTTTAGGGGAATTATTGCATGTACTCCAGATATTCTTCAAAGTAATACCTCAACAAAATTACTCATTTCCGTACAATTCAAGTACTTTGATTCTTAATTTTAAGGTTTTGTTTTTCGAAACTTCATTAGATAGATCTATGAATTTTAATGAAGGGTGCCCAGATGAGCCTATCAATTAATCGATATGAATTTTTAAATCACAACCAGTTGAAGTAATCAAAGTTTAGAGAATACTTTGTAAAATAAATATACAATTGCAGTTGTTGTAAGCTTCTTATATTTTTATAGTTTATAAAAATTCCTACCCTTCGCGGCAATTATTCTGCATTTTTTATTTTGATCATTTTTTTTTTCCTAGGAAGAAGTTTTAATTTGGCCCTGTTTTACAAATCCACTCGAGCAATCCTAACATCTTTCCTGTGACAAAATTGGCAATGCCAATATAAACACTTTTTTAATTATTTTTTCTTTTTAAGGGCAGATTCCATAACCTGTTGCTATTGATATCGTTGTCACCCTTTTTTTATTTTTTATTTTTTTAATCCTTGTCAGTTGTCACACGTATTCTGTTATAACATCTTTGATTTTGCCATTACTGCTGTTTTTGTCATCGCTACTATTACGGTCCCTTTCCATTTACGTCATGTTCGTTTGACACGATATATGGAGAGATGAAAAAAAAATTGAGGAAGAAAAATTAGACTTTATATAGGATTAGACTTACATTTTAAAAAGTTAATCCGTTTAAGTGAGGTGATTTAATATATTTAAGGTATATTTATTTGATCATATTAGAATATTATATTATATAATAATATAATATTTATTGTGATCATCGTATTGTATAAATTAATACGGTCTATGTCGTATTATTGAATACGATTAATTTTTGACGTATTGTATTGTATTGTATTATTTTATAGGGAATTAATGATTCACGTTGGGATGATGCACAACTAAAGATCCGGCTAACATAGAATAATGCCGGAGCCTATAATTATTGAAAATTTGAGGGGCACAATGCATATTCATTTTATTTAAAAAATTATATTTTAACCCTAAAACTTTTACAAAAAATTATAATTTCAAGTTCTTAGAAGTAAATTGGGTCTATAATTTCGAGAGTGCAGTTACAAGTTTTTAGTGAGATAACTTTTGGAATTAATAGAATAAAAAAATTAATTAAAGAGTTTAATTATTTATTTATTTTATTTGAGCTCGGAATTATAAGTCTATAAGTCCCTCTGTCATCCTTGTATTATTTACAAGAGAAGATGAATTATTAGGATTTTATTTCACTCGTGAAGAATTAATTATATATTAAATAATGTGATTATTTAATTATTTTGTCACACACTGTGGTGGGACCATAGGGGGCGTGCGACACTGAAAAAATCTCATTGGGATTTAGTTGCTTGCTCTCCGAGTAATCCGGTTTACTTGTTCGACAAGTTTTCCAATTAAATTCAAAAGGAAAAGTAAGATGTTACTTTATTTGTAATTGAACTTAAGTTAAAATTGAAAACTGGATTATGAAGGAATTTTCTCCTTCCTTTTTAAGAGATGACCGGCCACACAATAAGAAAAAGAGAAGGAAATTTTGTTTCCAAAAGCAGAAGGGCAACTTTATTTTTAATGAGATTAAAAATACAGTAGTTGCTAATTTTCTATTTTCTTTGTTTAAATATTGTTCTTTCAATATTGATTTAGTGTCATTATACTGACCTTTGAAATTGGCGACCCTCATATTTTACTTGAAAAGAGCGTGTACACAAAGCACAAAGGTCTCCTTGAATGAGCGATCAACATCATAAAATTGCGACCGGGATATTTGAATTGGATATATAATCATATTTGTGGTGTTGATTTGTGAACTCCAACATTCAAAAGTCATATAATTTATCTTCTGCAATTATCTTTTTCTTCTCCCCCATCATTTTCAAACCAATAGGCCCATATTTGCTGAAAGGGGAAAAAAAGAGAAGAAGACACGATTTATTTTTTTCCCATCTGATCTCAATCATGTTACATGAAAATACTAAATTTTGTAGATTGTAAAAAATTCGAATTAAAAAAAAATGGTATGTAACATTTAATAGAAGTATAATATAGTTGCACTTCTCAATCAGTGTTCTCTTTGAAATTCTGGTATCACTTCACTTAATTAAGAAGTTATTTATTTATTTATTTATTCTTGGTTTGGTTTGGTTTTGTTTTCTTTTTGCTGATTAAGGTTACAAGATGAAAAACATAAGTGGCAATATTTGGAAAGTTGGTCGACACTTGGATATTCCATGAGACAGAAATGCTCGTTTAGTTCGTTGATTCAAGTTTTTAATTCGAGCTGAGATGTAACTTTATGTGAGAGTTTTTTACTGTAGTAAAAAAATTAAGTGTGACTATTTCTGAGAACATAACTCGAATTAATAAAATGAACGATGTGTATAACGTAAACCTAAACCTGAATAAGTTACTAGATATGCTAATTTAAGAACAAAATATGACGACATCGGAAATGAATGCCCACACAATGCCTAAAAGGAGTATATATTTTGTACTTGTAATTAGTTTTAGATGAACATGATCTCAACGAGTACACTAAATTAGGCAACAAATTTCCAATAAAGGGAAAAAATGGAACAAAACAAAACAAAACAGGATAATTAATGAATGCCTCGTGACATGTTTAGGCACAATTATTCGGCAGCCAAATATTTTAGTTCCAATTTGGCACGATAAAAGGCAAACCAGATAGCTAGCTTTTTTTTGTGCTCATCCAAATTTAGCTAGCTTGTTGGAATTGGATGGGGATAATTTTGAAATTAAAACGACTCTTTGCTTTTTCTAAAGGCCATATAAAAACAAGATTGTGTTATTTTTATGGTGATGGGCAATGAAAACAACGAGAGGTGGTCCTCGTCAGACATCAGTCATCACAATATCCTCAAACTACAGATTCATGTTTATGTGCATGATTTACATGACTTTTAACAAAGTAGTAATTCACAAACATTTGTCAGCTACTTGACGAGTAAACTTGGTAACGGTTTTAGCTGAAACATGAAAGGGAATGTAGTTATATAAGCCGGAACTTTTGAATTTTTTTTTTCTGACCAGTATTTTTTTTTTCTTTTCCCCATTTTATAGATTTGACAGATTAGTTGGACACACCAAAATAATGCTCATGAACTTCAGACAGTAGACATATTAGTTGGTTAATGCTCATGAACTTCAGACAGAGGACATGAGTTAGTTAAGTGTGCCCTGCTTTAACTTTGTTGATTTTTTTTCCCCTATAAAAAAAAGTTGGTTCACTTGATTTTATGAAGGAAGAGATATGAATCCGGAGTATATTCTCGACAGGATCAATTTCTGATAAGTTGGCTCCTGTCCTCAATTTATGAATCGATGTTAGGGCATGTGACTCGGTGTGTTAAAGCGTCTCAAATTTATGTTATAACCTTTGGGTAGAACTCATCCTCAAAAGTTAGCTTGTAAGGAGATGGCGCCCAAGTGGTTATAAACTCACATGCTAAGCCCATACTTAGCAATGTGAGACTCAATCAGGATCCTAACATACCACCACGCTTCCGACACCAACGTCCACGGCGGCCCACTCTGGATGGCCCACTCTGGCCTTTCCAGGTCGCCCCTTCCGCAACGTAGGCCTGAGGAGGAGCATGCTTTGATACCAAACTGTTACGTTCCTGCACAATTCAATGAATAACATACAATAACAAGCGGATTCGCTAAAAAAATTGGGTTGTTTCCTTTTATTAATTAAACCAACAGAATCTCAAGGAGAGGTGAATTCCTCCTCAGAGAATTACAGGAATAATGAAAACTAGAAAGTATCCGAGAGACGATAGAAATGGGAGAATTCGAGGTTCCCAGCCTCCAAGGTCTGAAATAGAAAATTACTCAAAATCCAGACAGCCCACTCATCCCCCTACCCTACGGCCTAACTACCCTTTTGCTCACACCCGTAACTAACTCTGCCAACTCAGCAACTTATTCCCGAATCCCACTCCTTTCCCCTGCTTCCTGCCAATTACCCTTCTTGCCCTTCCTCCTAGCATACACTAATGTCATAGGAGGCCTAACAATTTATTACACTATTGAGAGATTTATGGGCCGTTGATTTAAATTTTTAATTCAAGTTGAGATGTGACTTTATGTGAGAGATTTTTACTGTAGCAAAAAAGTTAAATGTAACTGTTTTTTAGAGTTTTTTACTGTAATAAAAATTAATGTTACTCAATTTTGTGTTCGTCTTCTTCATTTTCGATCTATGTTGCAAACACTCAAGAAAGGATCAACGTCTATCAAGGAGTACTTTGTGAAAATGAGGATCAACATTTCTGGCGGACAATATTTCAGATATATCATCATCTAGAAACGTTCCATCCAAGTTTTTTTTGGCCTTTCCGATTTTCTTTTGTTTTAAATGACTTTATAAGATGATTATGAGGTGATGGGAAACGATTATGTGATTTATATCTCACTTTCATCGAGGATAATATATTGATTGCTTGATTCGTCTAGTAAAGAAAATTCATAAAGAAGGGCTAACGAGTTTATATTATGTGTAGGCCCATCTTAAAACAGCAGTTTATTAGTAGTAAAACCCTCAACTATTACCACCTACTCCAACTATTATCTATTCCTCCATCTTATCAAGAAGATAACATCAAGATCTTTATGCATTGCAGTCCCACATTAAAGTGGACTTTCTATTTTTAAAGTTCAGTTCCATCTTTATAATGGTGCTTGTATTTACATTTCGAGAAACTTAAGAATACACACCTTAATTATTTTTCTGAGGTTTTGTGCCCTTCTTTCCTTTTTTGGAGCTATTATCATTTTATTTTGATTAAAAGGAGAAAAAAAAGATGATTTATGTTTGAATAAATACTTCTCAAAGTGCATGAGACTAGATTTTTATTTTTTACTATTAATTAGTATTTTTTTTAATCAAATAACTATATTAATCAAATGAGTATTAATGAAAAGTAACGAGTAAAAATCTATAAATTTGGGCCCGTTTAGTTCGCTGATTCGAGTTGAGATGTGATTTTATGTGAGAGCTTTTTACTGTAGCAAAAAAGTTAGATGTGATTATTTGTGAAAATTTTTTACTGTAACAAAATTCAAATTCTAAACTCGAATTAACGAAATGAACGGGCCTAATTTTCTCATTTTTCAAACTTGTAAACATGTCATGTTAGCAATTTTTACAAGTGGATAAAAGGTCCAGCTCAATACAGGAAATAATGGTTACGGGCCTTTAAAGCATAGGCATCCCAGGCCCCAATAGAATCTTCCATTTTATTGGGCCTCAGCCACCACCCACCTGTCTAAGCCCATGGCCATATGCGTGAGAGTCGGGAATTCGGATGCGCTCCTACCTACTCGTCAGATCCACAGCGTTTCAGCTTCCAGCCAACGACTAGTGGACGAGCAGTTTCAGATTCTCGCTCTCTCCCTCGCGCTGGCTCAAATTTCTCTGCCACAAACCCTAATTAGCCCTAAATTTCCACTCAGAAGAGTTCAAGAAATTTCATTTCCAGGTTCTCTCCCATGTCCTCCTCCTCCGATTCGAGCTCTTCAGCTTCCGCCGACGAGAACGCCGACCGAGATCCCGGCTCCGGTTCTCCCGAATCCATCGAGGTCCGTTTCTCTTCGGTCGCATTGACGGAGCCCGACGCCGAATTCCCGGATTTGGCGGCGGAGCATCAGGAAGTCGAAAACGGCGTCGATTATGCGTCGGCTGGCGAGAGCGATCGCCAACTGATCGAAGGCAATGACGAGGAGGAGCTGGTGATTGCGGCTGAGGAAGAGATTCAGAGCAATTCCGGTGAGGCGGAGGTGAGCGAGGGCTTGGCGCGGGGCGGTGTTGTTTTGGGTAGGACCATTTCGGAGCTGGACGTGGAGGAGCCCTCGAGCCCTAGCAGTAGCGGTTATGCCGGTGAGAGGGGAAGTAGCGGTGCGAGTAGTGGCGGTGGTTCTGGAATTGATGAGGTCGGCGATGATGAGATACAGGAGGTGAGGAGTGATGCTGTTGATGGAGTCTTGGATTCTGGAGCAACGTGGGCGCCAGGGAAGCGCCATCCGGATGAGGTATTTCAATTTAGGAATTGATGATATATTGTTTAGTCTCTACATTTGTAGCTGAGGATTGCATTGTTTTTGGGTATGTTTGGCCTTAGAATTTATCAATGATCTGAGAAGAAGGATGGTCATGTTTGACAAGTTTTTAGTCAAGTTTTAGAATATAGTTCCTTTTCACCTTTAATTTCAATTGAATATATGACAAAGATTTTTTTCTTATTGTTTAGGTTTGAGGAACTAGTGAAACGAATTTAGATTCTGGTTTGCGAGTTCTAATTGTTTGAATGTAGTTTCACCTGAAAAAAGACCTAATGTTGTGAAGGAAAGAGGAGAAGTGAGTGTGAGAGAGATATGGAAAACGTTGGATAGGTTTCTGCGGAACTGCTCTGCATTATGGATCTAAAACAGCTCATTTCATTGTTGTTATTATTTGTTTTACCTTATTTTTGTAGATTTTGGATATCTGTATCCTGGTCCCTAATCTCGATGTGGATTTTGCTCCCTTTTTTTTTTTTTTTAAAGCTGGCGTATTAAGCTTCATTTGAGGAAATTTGAACTTAGGGATTAAAATGCAGATTAATTTCTTAACACTCTGTAATTGAGCATGGCTTTGGGACACTTAACGGCGTATAAAAAATATCTATTTCAACGTAATTTATATATCATTTTGGTTTCTCTTGACTTGCCAATTGACGAGATTTATGATCGATACCTGCAAATGTTATGTCCTGTTTGATTTATAATTGAAGTGCAGGATGATGCTTCAGTATCGTGGAGGAAAAGGAAGAAGCATTTCTTCATTCTTAGTCACTCTGGCAAACCAATATATTCAAGGTCTTTTCGGGTTCCTCTTAAATCTGCATCAGAAACTTTGCAATCTATATTTGCTTTCGTGCCGAATTAAGTATAACTTAATATATTTTCTTTTGGTGGTTTATTTCTTGTTTTGCATCTCTTATCAACTGAAAGGTATGGTGATGAGCACAAGCTAGCTGGATTTTCAGCAACACTGCAAGCTATTATTTCTTTTGTTGAGAATGGGTACATCCTGAATTTGCTTTGTTGCTTATGTCCTTATAAATTATTTTTGTATGTACATCTATAATATCTCAATTCAATTAATCGGACTTGACCATAAGTTTTACATTATCGTCTACAGTGGGGATCGTGTCAAGCTAGTAAGGGCTGGGAAGCATCAGGTCTGTTTGTTTTCTTTACGGTTGGAAGCTTTCTTCCTAAGTCATATTCCTTCACACAATACTTGATATCTGGGGTAGTAAGCTGCTTCCACATTCTCCTGTTGGATTAAACATTTAAAATATCGTTATGATTTTTGTTTTGCTGATCTGAATGTTCAAAAATAGAAAGAATGAGAATCTCCATTCCATGCGTTTAATAAGCTAGCTAACTCTGGCAGTTATAAGTTAAATCTCTGTTTCTTTGAAAAACACTTATTTATATGTGGGAGCTTAGGCTGCACACACGAACAAATATGGGTTCTTTTGCTTTAAATTTACTTGTACAGTGAATCAAAAATACGTGATACAGTGATAATTAATGGTGAAGGTTTAAAGTCTTGCAGAATGAAAGCATTGGGTTCTTTACTGTACGATTGCAGTTGTAACTTGTAGGCCTTATCTTTTTGTAGTGGTTTAAATTATTGGCTAAATAACATTTCGTCATCTTCAGGTGGTTTTTCTTGTGAAAGGACCGATTTATTTAGTATGCATCAGCTGTACAGAAGAGCCTTATGAGTCACTGAGAGGCCAATTGGAACTAATGTATGGTCAGGTAGCATTGGATTTCTACTTCATCATTTGTTTAAAACATAAAATCATCCGTCTTTTCTTTTATATTTTCTGATTTCCGTACCAAAAAATATTTTCTGGTTTCAACCACACAAAAAAAGCTGCTACTACAGTTCTTACTTCGCGTAACATAGTTTTTCACAAGTCCAATCTTTTTCCTTTGATTTGGAATATGGATGCAGATGATACTTATTTTAACAAAGTCAGTAAATAGATGTTTCGAGAAGAATCCAAAGTTTGATATGACACCTTTGCTTGGGGGAACAGATATTGTTTTCTCCTCCCTCGTCCATTTGTTCAGTTGGTTTGTTTCTTTGCTCCTTTAAAGCCTTGTAGCATTCTTAAAACTTTTTTCCTTGGTTTTCATTGCTTCAATCAAGTGTCTTATCTTGTAAAATCTCTACCCCTCCCTCTCCCTCTCCCTCTCCCTCTTCCCTCCCCCGTGAAGTTTTATCCATGCTTCATGACATCTATTGTCTCTTTGCTTCTCAGGAACCCGGCCACATTTCTTCATGCATACACCTGTCTTCCCCTTGCTTTTGCAACAAGGCAAGCAGCAGGTGCCATATTGCAAGATGTGGCTGATTCAGGTGTTCTGTTTGCAATACTAATGTGCAAACATAAGGTCCTAACATCCTTGTTTTTATGAATTAAGATTATTGGAAGCACGTATTATTTAGAGGAGTTAATTGAATCGATGCTTGAGTGCAGGTTATCTGTCTTGTTGGTGCTCAAAAAGCTTCACTTCATCCGGATGATATGCTGCTACTCGCCAACTTCGTTATGTCTTCAGAATCATTTAGGCAAGCGGATTACCTAATATGTGTATATATCTTTTATAGGTTTATCAACCTACTAGGCCTCGTCTTTATGCATCACTAGATCACTATACCAATTGAAGTCCATAAATGTCCCTTTTCTTGTGTTAGTGTAGTGATTAATTGGCCCTTCTCTTTGTCTGTAGTCTAACAACAAACAGTTTTCGGCTTTATGCAGGACATCTGAATCTTTTTCTCCAATTTGCCTGCCAAGATATAATGCCATGGCTTTTTTGTACACTTATGTCCATTTTTTTGATGTAAGTGAAACTGTTGATTTGCTTTGGGCAAAGTCCTGAACAGTAGGAGAATGTTCCGGTTTTAAATAAATATTGCTATCATTATTTATTCATTTATTTATTATATACTGAGGCTCCTATGTCTGCTTATCTTTTCTTTTGCAGGAGGATACGTACCTGATGTTGCTTACCACCAATTCAGATGCCTTTTATCATCTCAAAGATTGCAGGTACTTGCCGAATTTCAGAACACTGGGGAGTTCTGTTATGCGATGTTGTAACTTATTGAATGATTTACAATTTACTGTTTGGCCCTTGGCCGAATGTGAAATGTAATCACAGTAAGGAATTTATCTCCTTATGGATCTCCCTGTATTCCACAAATGGGATAATTTAAGCTTGGTATGTGGTTATTAACTTGTGTTTCTTTTTATCTTTTTGCTATCACTTTATAGGATGTGTATTGAGAAGGTCCTTTTAAAGTCGAATGTTCTTAGTGAAGTTCAAAGATCCACGCTAGAAGGTGGGATGCATGTTGAGGATTTGCCTGTAGATCCATTACCTCGCTCTGGATCTTTATCTCGTTGGGGTCATGCAAAACTTCCAACAGATTCTCCTGAGAGGTTCAGGGAAACATGTGATTGTGTAGGTGGTCCTGCTGGACTTTGGCATTTTATGTACCGCAGTATATTTCTAGATCAATATGTATCATCTGAGTTCTCAGCACCAATTAGTAGTAGAGGGCAGCAGAAAAGGTAAAACTGCTGATTCTCATAGCATCTTGGTTAGAATCCAAAGCTTTGGTTCTCCCACAATGAAGCTTATGTGTGTTTTTATTGTCAGGAGGATAATTTGTGTGTTTTTACAGGTTATATAGAGCTTACCAGAAGCTTTATGCTTCCATGCATGACGGAGGAATTGGTCCTCACAAAACCCAATTCAGAAGAGATGAAAATTATGGTAATGGTTTATGTTGGATCAGTGATTGATTTCTAGGTTTCGTCGTAAACCTAATTGGTTACTTTAAATTACGCAAATCAATAGTTCAAATCGTGCCCACTGCTAAAGATTGACATCGAATTAGGTTTTCTAGAATACGGTGGCGACACTAGTGAAAACTTTGGTACAGGATTAGACCCCCATGAAATTGTAAGACCTTGTATCATGAAACACTTCTTGAAAATTTTAGGGCCCGTTTGTTTAATATACTCAAACTCAAATCATTGATTTTGCTACAGTGGTTTCCTCTCACTAAAAATTTGAATTTCAAACGTCAAAATCAAGAATCATGGTTTGAGTACCCTTCCCAATGGGCCCTTAATGGTGCATTAATAGCTGTTGATACCTTTAGAGGTTATTCCAGATCCAGCCTTTTTGTTTAGAGCCTGTTTTAGTTGTTAAACTTGGTATATAATAAATTTTTGCAATTTTTTAATACTCTACTACATAATCTGATTCTGATTGGAGTCTGCTTGTTGTTGTTGTTGTTGTTGTTGTTTTTCTTTTTGCTTTTTTTGTTTTTTTACTGTTTTAATTTTTTTTGCCCTTTTGATATCATTCATCTGATGTTTTGCCTCTGTTGCGTTGAATTATTGGAGCTCATATTTATGTTCATATACTTAACCGATAAGCCTTTTTTTGACAGTTCTGCTCTGTTGGGTCACGCAAGATTTCGAACTTTATGCAGCATTTGACCCACTTGCAGACAAGGTAAAATCTCGCCCAAGATTCTCTCATTTGTTTGCTTTGTAAAAAATATTCTAAGTAATGTTAATTTGAAGAGCTAAGTACATTCTGTCAAGAATAAGCTATCAAGGTAAAGCTTGTTGAGTGGAAATGTGTGGTGGAGATTCCAACCGACGTGTCCGACTTTGTCTTGATCAACTTACTTTTTCTGTATCCATGACTTCCATCTTTCACCTTACTAACTGAAAACATTGAGAGATTCGTTCCCTGGGCCACCCATCTTAACTGATTGGCCATTTGACCGTACATTCTAAACTGACCATATTTAGCTTCTGTCTACCTAAAGCATGTGCACTGCCTTTTGACTATGCAAAAGACGGTAATGTTGGTGCGGGGAGGACAAATTCAACTGGGCCTTGAACGAGAAAACATTAGTAAATGGGATTTTGTGAAAGTATAGTTGTTATTTAATGAAGTCACACATGGGTTACTACCCAAAAAAAGGAGTTAAAACTTATTATACTCGAGTATATAAAGCATCTATTGACCTTGGTTTTCGTTCCTAGCTCATGGCTGTAGAAATTCCTTTTTGAGCCAAGTCTGTAGAGGCTTTTACTTTGTAAAAAGTCTTTTGCGGGGTTCATGTTAATAATAGTTAGTTGTCGAGGAAAGCAAGAAGATTAATATACGATATATGATTAATGGTTTGGATTGAGCAATGTTATTCATGATGAGCATATTCTGATTTGTCTTTTGAACATGAATTTTCAGGCATTGGCTATAAAGACCTGTAACCGGGTTTGTCAGTGGGTGAAAGACGTGGAAAATGAGATTTTTTTGCTGGGAGCAAGCCCCTTTTCATGGTGATATTCCAAAAATACTCTGTCCTAAACAGCATGTACTATAGTCATTGTTTTACGTAAAAAATAAGTTTTTTTTTTTCTTTTTTGGTTGTGTTCACACGTATTGCACATTAATTGGAAGATGCTTATGGTAAAATTCCTAATTGGTTACTTCGACCTTTTAAAGATTTTGATTTTGTTACAAAGAGCATTCCTAAAACATAATTTGTAATCAATTGTTCATTTTCCACACACATTGGCTACCACCAAGGCACCAACGATGCCATAACTGCTAGTTCGGAGCATATATATTTTTTTGTTTATTAAGTTCTCATTCTGTCAAGAAACATGCAATCTGGAACATGATATCCTCCATCATGCTCTGCAGCATTGAAGATGGTGTAGTCTCACGACTTGTGTACTCTGTCCTTTTCTCCATGTTTAAGTTATATTCTACGTCTTTTCATTGCCTTTTTTGTTTTTGGTAAATTTTTAGGGGTTTGTGCTTGCCGATGCCTATTGCAATATATACACGCATATAGCTGTTGGTTTAAATTCTTCTTCTGATAGCGAGTTTGAAAGCTAATCGCCAAATCCTATGGATGTTAATGTTGGAGGCCTCCTTAGTTCTGTATAATTTTTGTTTTTTTTTTTTCTCCTTTCTCTATGAATATGATTTTTTTTTTTTTGGCCTAATAGTCTATGAATTTTATTGAACTGTGCGTAACTCAACTTTGTTGCAGAACTAAAAGCTCAGTTGAAGAACTGGAAATAAATTGGATCAATGAGCTTTCCTAGAAGCTGAATTGTTTTTATTACATAATAACATATATTGAAACGCGCATAGCATAAGCATGTAAATATGGTTTAGATAAAGTTGAAAATGCTGACACCTCTATTTCTAGCTCACCGTGCCAATAAATGACAAACTATTATTATTATTATTATTATTATTATTATTTTCTATGAAAGGAAAACGCATTACCAAATGAATGACTCCAAGATCATATAAATAACCATGGGTTTACAGTTTGTTTCTTTGTTTGCCCATTGCCCTAAACTAGGATCCCATTGGTTTCAATTGCGCATCTTTGTGTGGTAAATACCACCAGTTTCATATGTGATTCCTGGGCATGAGTTCATATTTTTATAGGCAATGTTGTTTCACATGTTAGTTGCATTGCATATCATACGGTGGTGTATTACCAATAATAATAATAATAATAATAATAACAACAACAACAACAATAGTAATAATAATAATAATGATGATGATAATAATACGGTGCTGTAAATTAATACTGTATTGACACTTATGCCCCAAAAATGAAAGAGGAATAATGGAGGATGAAGATTGAGGGATTGGAGAGGTCCTTGGGGTGTGGCTTTGGACATTAATGGCTAAAAAAGTCTCACTATAAGTGAGTCTGCAATCATTATTGTATGGTCCCAGCAGTCGATCATATGATCCATTTAGCTTTCCTTTCCCTTAATTGGGGTATTCCAGCATTCACTCTACACACATGGGTTTATGCAGCAGTGTTTTTAACCCAATTTCTTTGAAAGGATTTGTCTTTTCTCTCCTCCATTCTTTTACACACACACACACACACACACACATATATAGATATATATATATATATATCTATATCTATATATAAATATTTGATTTTGATGTCCAAAAATATAACTTCTGAGAGGGTGATTATTATTGTAAGAGACACCCGTCAGAATGCTGTCAAAAACGCTCCGTGAAGATGAGAAATATCAAAGGGGTGTGTGTGTATTAATTGAGGAATGGTCATTCTGTGAATTGAGATTAATGGGAGCTCGAGAAAGGTCTTTCCACCTCTGTAATGTAGGCTTGTAATTAAAGAGAGGAGAGGGTAATAAAAGTTTCTGTAGGGAGTGTTGACCAGTGTTTCAAGGGTTTTTTCCTCTTTGTTTGCACATGCATTATGCTTATTTTGTCTTTTACTGATTGTTAAAAACAATAAGTTTTAGTGAAAATACATTGTGTATTGTATACCATGTTTCATAACTATAGTTTTAAGTAAATAACATTTTTTTTTTAAAAAAAGTTAATAAATTATAGCATATTTTTAATGTTTATTTTAAAATAAATTATTCTTTTTAAAATTATTTTGTAATTTTCTCCCTCATACTCCAAAACACTAATCTCTATTCCCTCTCTCTCTCATTTTGATATCTCCTCCGGATGACTATGAGAGCCGCGCGATTTCAACGGCAATGGAAAGTCGATGGTGAGTTCGACGATTTCTCTCTCTTTTCGTGGCTCCCATAGCAGGTCGAAGCTCATTGTTGCGCTGCCCATTATAAAGCTCGGAGTTTGCTATCGATCTGCTTCATTTCTGTCACAACTACCGAAGGAGGTCCTCATCCTTCCAGATCACGCATCTTCTCAACAAACATCGACTCAGAAATATTGATGGCTAGGGATGGCAATATAAGTCATGACACGACAACACAATTCGAAATCCGCACAAAGTTAACGAGTTTTGGTTTACTATAAATGAGTTTGGATCATAGTCGGGTTAACACGATTAATAAACGGGTTAGGTTAGGGTTGACCTTCTAGCACAAAGTGATCCGAATCGACACGATTAACTATACGTGTTATTTATAAATTACTTATCTATGATATAATATAAACATTTATATGATGTATTAAATGCAAATAACAAGAATTCAAAATTCTTTAAAGAGACAAAGATAAATAGACCAATAAAATTGTTAAACGTGCCCTAATCATGTTAAATAATTCTAATTGTATCAATTATTTTTTCAATATATTACTTTAAATGGGTTACGCGGGTTGATACGATTAACATGATTGATAAACAAGTCGTATTTAGATTGGTATTTTTGACAAGTTTAATAAATATCTCGTGTTTTGGTTGATATTCTCTAATACGATATATAAACGGGTTGGATATGAACACGACCCATTAATACGAATTATCACCTCTACCAGTGGTAACTTTTGAGTTATCTCTTTGATCAAGGACAGTGGTATAGGAGATCTCCATGACCTCCTGCGATGGTGGACCTCGTTGCCACTAGAGACATTGCAAGCTGGAGTCACGATGATGACGGAGATCGTAGTGATCTCACCGTGTTTTTTGTGATACCCGATGGAGATCACAGATCGAGGAGATGGCCGATGGCGTCATCGATCTTCGTTTGAGATCTGCACTAGCCTTCATTTCGGATGCTCAGGTCACGACACCGGCCTTCTTTTCCAACAAGCCAGCGATGGAAAAACTAGGGATTTTTGGTTTCATAAAAGTATTTATGTAATACTTTTAGAAAATAAATGTAAACATAGTTTTTATTTTTGTTTGTGATTTTTAGATATGAAATAGTGATTTGGTAAATTACAATTTTTATCGGTCTTCAATTTCAGCGGCCAAATTTGTGAGTAATACAATATGTATGGGTTAGTATGGTATTTACCGGTTGATTGAATTTATGGGTAAATACCTGAATTTTCGAATCAATATAGTATTTACCAATTTCGAGTAAATATGATATTTCTTTATAAATACCGTATTTACCAATTTTGGGCGACTGGCGTCGGCGGTCGAATTTTTGAGAAATACAATATTTTACCGGTCATGTGCATCGACAGTCGGATTATCAGGTAAATATGTTTTATATGGGTAAAATAATATTTTCTAATAAATATGATATTTACAAGTAATACGGTATTTTTGGGTAGATAAAATATTTTCTTGTATATAGGGTATCCGGCGGCTAAATTTATGGGTAATTATGATATTTTCAGGTAAATACAATTTTTTTTGATAAATACAATATTTTCTGATAAATATGTATTTACTAGCCGTTGGTCATCGGCTGCCCACACTGCGGACGGTCGCCGGTCATTGGCACCCCCAATGGTGGAGCTGACTAAAGGGGAAAGGAGAGAGAGGTAGGAATGAGTTGAAAACTTAAAATATCAAATTACACTATAATTTCCATTTTTTTTAAAAAAAAATTATGCTAAATTTTTCTAAAGGGAAAAACACTAAATAGCATATTTTAAACATGCTTTTAAAGTAAATAGCATGTTTTTTAAAATTTAGTAAATTATGGCATATGTTAATTTTTTTATTCTAAATAAAAATATTCTTTACCAAATTTACCTTCCTGATAGGGTTTTGTTCTTTTCTTTCTCTCAACCAAAAACAGCCGCCTCTTTTCCTACTCTTTCTATCACCGTTTCTCTCTCGTCATCGTATCTACTCCAGCCGACTGGGAGAAGCTGCACGATTTCAACGGTGACGGCAAATCGATAGTGACAATGACTCTTTTTCTTGTGATGTCGATCTCTTTCTCTCTCTCTTCATGGTTCCCATAACAGGTCAAAGTTCACTGCCACGTCGCCCATTTCGAAGCTCAGAGTTTGCCATCGATATGCTTCGTCTACGTTTCAACCTCAGATTTACTCGGCCGTTTTCAGAGATCGAGAGCCCAACGCACCGCCTAGACTTCTTTGATTCATCTCTCTCTCTCTCTCTCTCTCTCTCTCTATCATTCGTTGGAGATCAGTTTTACTCAGCGTTTTCAGAGATCGTGATCCTACGAAAAGGAGTACCGAACTGCTACGACGAAGCTCATCAGAGATCGCGAGCCAACCTCACCACCTAGGGTTTGTTGTCTCTCTGTATTTTGCTTGTTTTGGTTGGAGATCTCACCAAAGTTGGGTTTGGTTTTCAATTTCTGCGTGGATTTTTGAGAGAAGGCATATTGTATTTTTGTAATTTTTGAGATATGTGTTATTTCATGTTTTAGGACGTTTTTCTACTTTGATTTGGTTTTTGATGCCGGTATCTGTGTCAAATTTTTGGGTAAATACTTTAGTAATATGAGAAATACTATATTTACCAGTAGATACTTTAATAATTATAAAATTGAATATGATAAATATTGTATAGACTTGAAAATACTGTAGTAGTTATAAGTTTGAATATGGTAAATATTGTATTTACTAGTAAATATTTTAGTAGTTACAAGTTTACATATGGTAAATATTGTAATAGTTTTAAATACTTTAGTAACTACAATTTTGAATATGGTAAATATTGTATTTACATGTAAATACTTTAGAAGTTACAATTTGGAATGTGTTATATTTACTGATAAATACAGTGTTTTATGACCGTCAGAGTCAGTGGCATGATCTTCGGATAAATATGATATTTACAAGTAAGTACGGTATTTATTGGTAAATACAATGTTAAACGGTCGCCGGAGTCGGTGGTCGAGTTTTGAGATAAATATGATATTTACTGGT